TATGTCAATGAGAGTTGCCCTCCAACGAGAGGACCGTTGCTAAAGCCGCTCATACAATCCATGGTGCAAAATGCCTTTGATCTTAATGTTCTGAAGAAGGACTTTGCTCAGTTGCCTGCTCATGTGTGTCTCGTCGATGCGATTCCTCGAATCATTCTTCTTCCGATCAAAATCATGACAGAAGAAAGCGCAGAAAACATTGAAGGCAAAGGTCGTATTATGGCGCTTGAGTGTAGAGATGCGAAATGGAACGACAATGAAGAAGAAAAGGAAGAATAAACGTCGACAAGGCTAGAAATAGAACGAAAATAGATACAAAGTAGAAAATATTTCCAGCAGCAATTGAAAGGGCGGGCCTAGAGAGAGGACTTGTCCACACGAGTTTTCGGGAATGTCAGTCATTGCTGGCTTCATGCCAGCGGTTGATACGGCAATCCCCGGCTGATTTCACGTCCTATGTTCGCCACATACCACCTCCCACAGTGGGCGGTCATAGCTAACGCCGGGCGGCAATAGCAACAATACTTCTCCGCGGCATTATTAGCGCTCTGTTTCTAATTAGGAGGGTGGTATCATCTGTATGAGTGCGTAACCGCGCACAGAGTGGTGAAAGGGATCGATTTGGTTGCTTAATCCTGTCCTTCGCTTACAAGTACGCAATACTCAGAAATTTGTCAGAAGCAATATAAGAATCATATTATTAGATTGAGATAAGCAGTTTCGTTTTTTATAAGAACTTTTTTCTTGAATCTCTTGTTTCCACATAATCTTACGGAGTTCGGAACAGAATTTTTCGCTGTACATCTTTATTTCATACTTTGTTGGTCGTTCCATTATTATGATCAGAGATCGCACTCAACCAAATCAATCAGTAAAATAAATGCATAGACACGATAACCACGGAGGTACGCCCACCACGACATTTACAAGACCAATACTTGCGAGCTTACGCTCACTACATCGTAGCACACAAAAAACATTAATATTGTACAATGATCATCAGTGTTTGCGCGTCACACATGGTCAAACCATGAAGCGCACGTGTGACACACGCAAAATCCGAAAAACGTCGGTGAGGAAAGGGTGAGGTATTGTGAGCTGGGAAGTACACATACACACTGAGGGTGCAATAAGTTTACTTCGCCTTAGCTTTAGATATGTTCATTGTAAAATTACTGGATCGCAGGCCTGCAGAATGGGAGGTCCTGTAGGCCTTCAAGAGAAAGCAATGAGTAATATCCCTCTACTTAGTCGTGACCTCTTCACCATTACATTATTGAGCCGTTTAAAAAGTTGTACTGTCTTTTTTTTAAGAAGTCACTTTTCCGACAGACCACCAAGCCGTGGTAGTTCTTTGACCCAGAGTTTTCCTCTAAAACCTTATGTTTTCGTATCATTCTATACTTTATTTTAAAACCATTTTTTCTGCTCTGTTCATATTCTGGTTTCGCTCTTACTTTCGTTATTTAAAGGGTAGAATCTTAGGCTGACATAATAAGGTGGCGAGGCAATGAGAGCGAGGGCATCCAAAAATTTCTTCCCTCACAATGGCCAAACCGTTCTTACGTGTGCTGTTCAATGCAAAAAAGTTCCCAAAGCAGGTGAAACATCACTCAAATCCTCGAAGAATCTAATCGTGAGAAAAAAAAAGCAATTTCTGTATGCCTTTTGTGAATTGTTCTAGTCCTCCCCTTACATGGATAGCCTTTCTGACTCCTAGTATTTCAGAATCATGATGTTTCTGTTGAGAATACACCGTTGACGCTAACTTTGTCTAGGGACGTTGGAGGCGAAGAGGCTTGCAGTTTCTTGAGTTGCCTTCTGCCCAGTTGAGCTGCTGTTCAGATAAAACTGTGTATAGAAACAAAAACATGTGTAAGGTAAATGGGTTGAATAAAATTATTAGGGCTTTCCTTTCCAACTACGGAATAGTGTACAGGCCTGGGTGCATACCTAACCCACTGTGTACCGCTGCATTTTTTTACGCTTCGTATTCTCATCTGAGAGATCCTCAACGCACGCTGTAACGGAGACACAGACGGCTCGAGCATGCGAGTGTGAATGTTCGCGCGAGAGAACGTGTCTAATCGGGCGAAACTGCGCAACGTGGCCGTTGAAAACTGCGCAACGCAGGGTTGACTCTGTTTGCAACACCGCTCTGACGCCCTCATTTCTGACTCCGTCCAGTCTGCGTCCAGCCGCAGGCCCATCTCAGCATCCTCATCTCAGCGGAGTGAAGCTGCCTTTCGTGATTCTTGTTCAGAGGGCCAGCACTCGCTGCCGTATAGCATCGCGAGGCCTTGTTACTACGTAGTAGCCTTCCCTTTGAGCGTTCTGGAAACTTTCCACTTAACCACGCCCGTCTCATCCACTCCACGTAGATTCCTGCCCTTACTGCCTGATCCACTCTACCGTCGGCGGCTGGTCTGCGAAGGTGTCGGAAGTTCTCCTATTCTCGGTGCTTTCCCCATGTGAATCGACGATCGCTTCCACTACATACACTTCTCAGAGCTCAGAAGTTTGGTTTTCTTGACATTTACCCAAAGCCCTTCCGCATGCTCTTCCTGCCGAAACCGGACCTTGCCTCAAAGTCCTCTATTATCCGCTAACAGATGTGGTCAGTGTATAGGATGCTTATCGGTGATCCCTGCAGTGGGCCTCTTCATCATGACATCAAGTTTGGACTAAGAGAAACCGGAAGCTGATCCTAGGTGTACCCCATCTGCGATGTTCACCTCTTTTGTTAGACCATATGGAGTGCGTACTGCTGCCCTAAGCCCATCTATCTTTCCCTGGGAAGATCCGGTGTTCTGGGATGTTCCGTTTTCTGAGTATTCTCTATGGTACTGTTCAGTGTAGACAATTGAATGTTTTCTCCAGGTAGGGCTCCACGGGCGGCGCTTTCCGACATTTCCCCATAATCTAGGTTGAAACGAAAATAGCCCTGTGGTCTTTCTCTTCTTTGATTAAATCCTCTGTGGACCTTTACGGTATGCGACCAGGCTGACGCATCTTTTTCCCAATAGACGCCCAGTACTGCAACTCATCCACAGATCGTTATTAGAGTTAACACAGAGAAATTCTTCTGTTCTTTCTCGTCTTATAGCAAATTCTTGGAAATATACATAGTGGCGATAAATGTAGATGAATTTGGTCTGTCTGCTGAGCAGCTCCTTAATCGTTTTTAAAAATCGGACAAGTATATGTGAGAAATCTTTTTCCGCTTCTTGGGTCCTTGTCTTTGTCTAAGCGTAACCGCGCAGTGCTTCGAAAGGAATAGTTCCCAGTTGCACAGCGGGAGGTTGATTTTGATGCGTAGGGAACCACTTGCCATTCTTTAATAGGTCTGCTATCTGCTGTTTCGAGTCTCAGGGCGCACGCATTGTCGGTCGGAGGCAGGGTCGGTCCTATCGTTGCTACTTTTTGGATTTTTTCTACGACCCCCCCCCCTTCATGGGCGATTTGGTACGACCCCCCTGTGTGTAGCTCAAGTGGTGATAAGATTACTTAAACAATAATAATCATATGAATTAAAACTTTTTTAGACAAGAATGCTGAATTTCGGTTCAAATTTCATAAAAGACGAGTTACCATTCCGAAAAACAGCGTAGGCATGGAATTAGGACATAAAGTCATTTATGATACGGACCTCATGGCTGAGGGCTAAAGGTTTGACAGGTTTTTGACAGGTTACGTTTCTGTGGTGGATCGCGCCCTCGGTGACCGTTTGTTGAAGGGGAACAGGTGTCGAAAGGGGAAATCGAGAAGTAGAAGAATTTTTCCTCGTGAAATTTCAGGTTCCTCGGAAGACGGAGGTGGATTCTGGATCACCGACGGTCATCCTTCTTAAGTAGAGCGGATTTGTTCTCAAACAATCTGAAATGATTATAATTTATTGATAATTGATTTGATATTAATAATTTATTGAACAAGAAAGGAATTTGCATCCCTTACTGATGAGCAC